CCGTGGTTGGGGGTGGTACCTCGGAGTTGGTGGAGCAGAGTCGGTGGTAACTCGCCCCACTGGTGTACAGACGCCGAAGGGGCCGGTCTAGTTACGACTAGACTCCTTTGACCGGCAGTTGTACAACGGGAGGGGTCCTGACGTGAAGTAAGTAAGGCCCGAAACGGGCGACTGGTCAGCACCGCCCGGTCGTCAGACTCATCGTCCCTCAATTCCCCGTGGTACACTGCCCTCTGGGTCAAAGGGAGTCTAAGTCGTCAACCGACCGGCCCTTCGCGACGAGTCCCTGTGTGTAGATCACCACAGTGGAGTGCTCTCCGTATGATAAATCCCCGAGCACGTCATAGAGCGCCATTGACGACACCCCGAACTACCAGGAGGTATCCACCCCACCACTGTAGTCGCACGCCTTTGTCTTACAGTCATGTCGCGGGAGGTAATTAGTTACGTCTTCCAGAGTAGACACAAAGAGGTGGCCGACCACCTGGCTCTCATTTTACTGTAAAAACTCTACGAATATCATGATAAGTAAATATGTCTAATAAAACTTCAATGCGGAAACAGATGTCATACAGCGCCTCATTATCAATGCAGAAGGTCTCATCTGTGTTCTCCACCAGCTGGTGGACCGAGAGGGTGGCGTTGTATGGCTCCACCACTGTGTCTGAAACCTGAGGTCGGGGGAGGGAGAAGGAGTTGCATTAAAGCAGAAGTAAGAGGAGAAAAATAGTTAATGTATATAGGTGTATTATAAGCACCTTAGGCGAAGGCACCACGCTGAAAGTGTTCATGATGCGGTCTGGATACTCCTCTCTGATTTTGCTGATGAGCAGCGTGCCCATGCCCGAGCCAGTCCCTCCACCCAGGGAGTGTGTGAGCTGGAAGCCCTGCAGGCAGTCGCATCCCTCCGCCTCCTTCCTCACCACATCCAGGACTGAGTCCACCAGCTCGGCTCCCTCAGTGTAGTGACCTTTAGCCCAGTTATTACCAGCTCCGCTCTGGCCTGTGTCACATGCAAACATACAAGTCTATAACATGTGGCAACACGTCCTGGATTTATTAGAATAATGACTGATTATAATTGCAAACACATTTAAATGTCAATGAGCAGTGCATACAAAAAGTCACTAACACAAGAAAGGAATGATAGTTCTACTGATACTGTCAACAAAATCCCTATGTAACAAAAGTGTACAACTTTATCAACCCAAGTTAAAACAAGAATTGTTTTACATCCTTACCAAAGACAAAGTTGTCTGGTCTAAAAATCTGGCCAAAGGGACCGGACCTCACTGAGTCCATGGTGCCGGGCTCCAAGTCCACCAGCACTGCCCGGGGGACATACTTTCCGCCTGGTGATCCAAACACAAAGAGCTTTATTATCTGAAGCCATTTGCACAGATTGCTGAAATAATTCCTCAAGAAAATACCCTATCGCTTTCCTACCCTTTTTCGTGTAGTTTAATTAAATACTGTGCCTTTTGAAGTATGACCAAACACAGCAAAAAAGCATTTTGAAAAAATATATGTATGCATGACGTGATAACAGAGTCGGGTGTTTAGCAGCACACGGTCACACCCTATAACAGCGTATAGTTTCATGAAAATGAAATTAATATGTAAAAAAAGAAACAAGGTTATTCACTTAATTATCCCGACAAAATGTTACAATAAGTGAAAACCTAGTATTTGTTTGAGACCGTATCATTATTTTTGACTTTTTTCTGCTGCGACAGCAACTAGGAAGTGACATGGCAGATTGTAGTTCCCTGCGGCTACCAGCGGAGGGATCCGCCGCTAGGTGGCTCCGGTAGGCCGATTAACAATCCTTCCGCATAGAGGAGTGGCGCAGAGTTGAGAATTTGGCAAGGCAAAGCAAAGCTAACCTGAAGCCTCGTTGTAATACACGTTGATGCGATCCAGCTGCAGGTCGCTGTCCCCATGGTAAGACCCGGTTGGGTCGATGCCATGCTCGTCGCTAATGACTTCCCAAAACTAGAAGAGAATAAAACACAACAACGGTCAAATCATCTGATAACTGTATGACTTATCTTAACGAGTAGGTAGCTATCATTAGCATTGTTGCTAAGTAGGCTAACCGGCCCGCCCAAACTAAATTACACATCCACGCACTTTATAAAGGAGGAAATCATTTAATGTTTAATCTGAGCTTTTACCTTGGATCCAATTTGGTTTCCACACTGGCCAGCCTGAAGGTGCACGATTTCCCTCATTTTGGTGAACAAAGACCGAAAAAGGCTAAGTTGTTGGACTGCAGTGATTCAGCTGCGAACGAAGCGGAGAATAAGGTGTGACAGGAACAGCGTTCTTTTTCTTCTGCTTCTGCTTCGTCTTTTCACGGCTTTTATGGCGGGTGATCAGCGTTAAAGTTGCATTACCGCCACCTACTGTATTGGAGTGTGGAACATAATGCTCTACTTCCTATAACAATAAGAAAAACACATTTAACAATAAAAATATATATATACATATTTCTTAACTCTATTTGTCTTCAATAATATAAATGTCTCCTTGACCCAATGTTGTCACAGGTGTCGTTTTGAAAGAACCACAGCAAAGTATCAAAGCTTGTACTACATCAAGCGGAGCAGCGTTTCTGCAGACACACCCTTTGTATGCACAGTAATCAATCAATGTAATCTCAATGAAAACCCAACCCCACACGATTTGTATTGTATCATTGTAAAAAAGGTCATAGGTACGTGCATAGATCATGTGGGCCACAACATCTATGCACGTACCTATGACCTTTTTCTACAATGATGCAATACAAATCTTGTAGTTTTGTATGTGTATATTAAGCATAGGTATTAAGCCAATCATAGGTTATCTAACTCAGGGATGGATTACTGAACGAGCGTACCCCCCCGGTCTGCACCTACAAAATCTCTACACTCGGAGACACATATTAATTTAATTCAATTCAATAGGTCGACTGTGGCTGTGAGGGAGTGTGATCCCAGCCCATGCAGTCAACATGTCGATGTATCCTTGGGCAAGATACTTAACCCTGAGTTGCTCCCGATGGCATGGCCAACGGTGTGTGAATGTGTGTGAATTTTAGGTCCTAGAGTAAGGTACACTGCTCTGTATGAATGGGTGTGAATGGGTGAATGACATGTAGTATGTAAAGCGCTTTGAGGGGTCTTAAAGACTGGATAAAGCGCTATATAAGTACAGTCCATTTACCATTTCCATTTAATAGCTTTATTAGCATAATCATTTACATACAATATTGCTAAAGCTCTGTATCGTTGCAACATCCATACACAAACATACGTTTCAGGAACCCAAGGAAGGAACATTCATTCAATTCATATAATACATTAGAAATAAAATGATAATAACAATTAAAAAAGACGTGAGATGTGAGGCCTGGCGTGAGATGTCAGTCGCTCATTCTGTGGCAGGCAGAGACAAACTGTCCTGCAGCTTTCTTTATTTCCCCGGGTAATATTTTAAGCGTTTCATTTTCTTTTTTAAATATTTGGGGATGCTTACTATTGAGTTTTGGGAAGATTTGTTTCCGATGTTCAAATTGTTGGCATTGTGTGAGGAGGTGCTGCTCTGTTTCCATAGCAGTCCCCCCATACTGTTGGCATAATTGCATTTTTCTTAAACGTCACATTTTCTAGTAGAAGTTTGAATTTACAGATAAAATTGAGTCCGTTCATTTATAAATGTGTTTTTGTAATCGTAAAATGACGTCATAGTCGTGCGACTGTTTACATGCAACATCATCATGGCTCTGTTTCCAGCTTTTGCAGAAGTAGAGCCAAACAAAGTTGAAGATTCGTCCAAGGGTTAGCACTTCATATTTAAATGAATTAATAATGGTTCTAATACTCTGTTGTCATTATGTTGAGAGAGGAACCCGTTAGCACGAGCTAGCTGACATTAGCTGTCCTAACGTCTGAACGACGGAGCTAGCTTAGCTCTGTCAAGCAGTTTACATTCCTCTACGGTTACTTCTGGAAGTTTGTATACTGTCTGAATATGTGTTTACACTGTATATGATGCAAGTGCAACATTCAAATAAGCAAAGACAATTAGACGTTATTGTTGTGTTGTGCGTTAGCAAGTCCACATTATAACGAATCTATAAGACAAAGTGAACTGAATATGGCCAGTAATCCTATACAAGGCGTGTGTTTCTGCTAATAACCGAACCTAAAGGGCGGATGTTAACCTCTATCAAGAAACAGTGTGTTTACACTTTATAATCCCGTTTGTTATAGTCTTGCGGGTGACATGACCTCTACATTGAAAGGAACCTGGATATTCAGGTCCATGTCGAAATGTTCCAGTACTATCCAGGATCCTGATCCTCTGGCAGTTCAGGATTGTCCATTCAAATCAATTTTATATATACTTACTAACCAATATCACTTGGGGCTTTACAATATGTCCTTAGACCCTCTTTTAGGATAAGGTAAAACCCCCCCTAAACAACTCTAAAGGCTGCAAAAGAAAGTGTTATTTACAATCTTGTAACCTGGTAAGATGTGACAAGCTACATAATCACATAGGGTGCAAACATCTGAAGCTCAACATTAACACAGATAAAATACATCATGGCTCATCCACAGGCTGTAAATCTGTCATTTATGTACTGCCTGTGTTGTCTCAGATAGGTTTCTGGCTTCAAGACTTTGGTGTACTTACCCATCATCTGGATTTATCTTTTTTAATCAGCAGTAAAACAAGACAACAGAAGTGTATCTCCTTTGTTAATTTGAGCTGTTTCGCATTGGATTCAAAACTGTTTTTAAACTGCCATGTAAACACACTCAGTGATTGATACTCTTGGTCACAACCTCTAAATCCTCCTCATGATTACTGATTATGAATCTTTTTTTAATCCACTCTCTCTCTCCCTTTTAGAATTAGACTGGCTGAAAAATAAGAGTTTCCAGACTGAAGATGCCCTCTCTCTTCACAGTCGTTTTTTTGAGAAGACGAGTGAGAGGCTGAACGAAAAGGAATCAAGGTACAGATATGAAGCGGGGACTTATTTTCTTTCAGACAAAATACTGGACTTTGAAACTGTCAAAACTGCAAGCTTTTCCCTTTAAACTCATTTTTTGCATTGCCTCCAACATGCGTTCTGTTCCGGGACATACCTCCCTTTCATCTTTGGGGTTATGAAGTATCTGATTATGTTCTTCCAGCCAAATTCCCTCCATAACCTTGTCGTACCCAGTCGTTGAATGCTGCACTCTACATACATTATACCATTCTTCCTCTGTCATATCAATCCCGAGTTCTTTCTCCGCTTTTCTTTTATATATAGAGTTGAATTCCCCCTACTCTCCAACAGAGCCTGATATAGAGCTGAAAACTATCTTCGTATACTTCCCTTCTTTCCG